AGTCAATGTTATTTCTGGTTTTTAAAACTCTAAAAATGTCTTCATTAATCCTCAAAATTGTTTTGTTTTATGAGAATTCTTTTCATTGAAAATGATGAAAATAAATGGGACATAATACAAGCCCTAGGCTCTTCTAACGCGAGAAGAGTTTTTCTTTGTAATATATTCTTATTTAATAACATTATGTTAGAAATGATAAGTCTTGCTTTTTCTTTCATTCTAACAGAAAAGTTGTGTTTTTTATCTTTTACTTATACATAATGATACTTAACCTTTTGTCTTTCTTGATCGGTGATATCAATCATTCCATATAGTATATTCGAAGATCACAATAGTTTACTTGTCATTCTCTCCAATTAAGTTTACCAATTGTTATCATTGTTTCATACATATTAATGCTTTCGCTTTCATTAGTTCCGAAACAAAAGCAATTGTTTGCTTATCTACTTCATTTATCGATAAGTGTCGCACTTTTCAAGTATTCTAATAAAAATAATCGTTTTTGTATTTACACCGCTCATTTTTCTTCTGTATCGCTAGAGTATAGATATTTTACTTTTGCATTATTTCCGTCTGGTGGTCAACAATTTTTTCTTATCGTTTAGCTAGACATAAGGAGTTGGTAAGGGTGTGAGGATTGGTAGAGGTCTTCTCTTTACCAACATTCACACTCCCGTCTGTTGATTTCCAAAGTTACATTGTAATATTTTTCCTCATAAGCAATACTTTTTGAAGCATTAAATTGAGCCAGGCTTGATTATTAATATTATCGAAGCATTTTTTTGTAGACATGCCTATTGAAAATGTTGATTCTTATGTTTAGAAAGAATGTTCAATGACTATTGTACCTGAATGCGGTAACATGTCAGTATGAGTTTGCATTTGTTGTTCGTCAGGCGATCCAACCAGCTGTCAAATCGGCCATTATCAAAGGCACATCCACAACTAAATGATGAGTGGTATGCATCAACATTTTATATAAGCTTTCAATTTCTTAATCATGATAATTTTAAAATATGTTCACTCTATTTTAATTCAATGAGTTATTTGTTTTTTTCTTGATGATAGAGATATATTTAATTTTTTGTATTGACTACAGAAAACTAAATAGACAAGTTGTCTTTGCTCGGATGTTGAAGACCATTGTGTAAATGAAGTCATCACTTTTAACCAGAAAACACTTCATAAATTCAAAACGCATTTAATTTGATATCTTTCTCTATCATTGTAAGGAAAGTTTACTCTAATTACATCAATAGAGTATCTTCAATATATCAGAATTTTTTCTTCCTAATTAGCTTTCAAAAGGCACAATATATATGTTATTATTGTAGAATACGTATAAAATTGAATTTTCCTATTAAAATCAATCATAATAACTAAGTACAGTATTCATGAAACATCATTTAATTGAACAAACCAAATTCAAGTTTATTTGACATAATAAGGTATTGCCTATATTTTTGCTAATGTGAACAAGTGACGATCTCATCTATTGAAGGTGAAATGCTAATGAAAGCTGATATAAGACCTTTAAAATTCGACAGCATTTCTATAATAAAGTTGAGCGGATTCAAGCAAATGTTTTATTTTCATTGAAATAAAAGAAAACTCATTATCGATATTGCAATATTTTGATACTCCAATTGTTCCAATTTAATATTCAATTTGTTGATTGAATCGGCAAACCTATACGGATATCATTTGGTTTTTTTAATGAATGCACAAAAAAAATTTTAGCGATTCAATAAATCATGTAGTGTCGTCTTTCCTCTTATCACAATTTACTTGATCGAAATAGAAAATTTGGTCAACTTGTATTATACTCTCACTGTAATTTATATCGATTTGTTATACAGAATATTGATTCTTTATTAAAAAGTATTGGTTTTTATCAGAATCATGTGAGTTCTTCGACATATTTTTTCGATTCATGTTGCACTTTCATTATCTCGTTACAGCACCGTTTCTTCGTATGCTACACTTAATAATTATTGACGCTTATATATTTTTAATCTCGAATGTTGTACTATGTGATAAATTGTTAGAGTAAGAACTAGACCAAAACCTTGTAATCAATATTACCATCATGTCGTTTTCAGCGTTGATTGTTCTTATTCTTTTAGTTTCTTTACCATTCTCAACAAATAAATGCCGGAAAATCATCACACAAAAAGATTTTGATGTCAACACAATTACTTTATTTGTGTGACATGCTCTTGCAATTATTTTGATAAGTTTCTTTGATTTTAATTTATGTAGTATTTTGTTTTTTAGATATGAATAATATCGAAGTTAGAACGTTTTCAAAATCGGCTACACATGCTGATAGGCAAGATACACGAAAAATGCAGATGGATCCGTAGGTGTGTGAAATCAAGTCGATAATTATTTTGGTAAATTTGAGAGTATTTAGGGGATGGCTAGAGTAAAAAACGTATCAGAATTTGCAGCATTCGAACTTGAATTTAACAAACCAAGTGAGTTTCATACTTTATTTCTTTTTGTTAATTCAATCTCATGACTGTATAAATGGTTCCAAAAAGTGATTAACAAGTAATCAGTTTGGAATTTATCAAGTAATGTTTTGTTTAGTTGCTTCATACCCTACCAGTTTTCAACACTAAATAGAAATTAATTTGCCTTATGTCGTGAGAGAAAATTTTCCCTTTATGTCGAGGTACATCAATTTTGTTTATAAGTTCGGATCACCAAAAACTCGTCACCATCGACATTCAACAAACTGAAAAATATACTGATCAATATGAGTATTGATGTGGCAAGTCTCAAACTAATAATACAAAAATGGGTGATTTTGATCATCATCAACTATCTTTTCTACATACGGAAATATGTTGAAAGAGAAAACAAAAAAATTGAAAATCATTGCTTTTTCTCTTTTTTCGTCTTCAGTTAATAAGTCATCAGGTTGCATTAGAATCAACTAATTTTATTCTAGAAGAGGATCGATGAATCAATCAATAATCTGCTCGAGAAATTTTACACGATCAGGTTGGTGAAAGACTGCGTCCTAAGAAGACTGTCATCCTCATCGTCAAGGAACTTTCTATAATAGAAACGGTTTGCCTTGACTGATCAACTTTATTGACTCGTTTTTAGATTTCCTCAACTTGACCGATCAGAATAGAATTTCGCTTCAACAAAGTTATTCGGATATATGTCTTCGATTTTCAGGAACTTCCGATAGACAATTATCAAATGATAAGTTATCTCACTGGTATATTAGTATCACAAAAAAACAGTGTTTGGAAAACCAAAGAATTGATTAATTGTATTGAGAATGTCATAGCATTGTCCAAGTTTGATCAATTGAGTTCTAATGCGTCTGGTGTCATAATAATATCTTCGGTAGCTTTTGATAGCTCGATGACAAATATTCTTTCAACTTTATATTGAAGCACATCATATATGTCATGAATATCAAAACTAACTACTCAGGTAAAGAACGATGTTCTGAAAAACAAATATCATATAAATGGTTCAAATCCTTGAAGATTCACTGAATCTTATCCTATTTCATGCTGAATTGAATACAAAAGTCGAGTTGATTGTAAGTGAAGAAATCATCTACGCACATTGATTTTCGATACCTATGAGTTTGAACGAAGAATATTCCTGGTTTGGAATGTTTCACTATTCAATTACAAATCATTGTTATTCATAAAAGAGGATTACCAAATAATGAATCCTTTCTATTATTCTGAGTAGTATTAAACAAGGTCAAATCATCTTCATAGACTCTGGTCAAGCTTTTGAAACTATTTACAACTTCAGTTGATAATGTTTTACCATTTCAGCGTTGATTCGATTGTATTGAGTAATGGACATATTAATTCAGAGTCTAATTTTAGATCTACTGCAAATCAGAAATGAAAACAGACACTTTTTTTTTACATCAAGGAAGAGGACAATTTCAATTGTAAGTAAATTGAGATGACTTGCAGCCTTTGGTCTCTTGCTCGAGTTCCTCTGAACGACAGGAAAGAGAAAAAGTAGAAAGTTATTTTTAGATCACTTTAATTCTTGAATTGTTGCACTGCTTGTTTGTAGACAAGCCACTTTAATAGACAGAACAACAAAGAATTCTTGCTCAATATAATAAAAATATGGTATGACAAATTTTGATCATCTACATATGTCTATTTACTATTCATGCGACACATTTCTTGGCAATGATCAAGTTCATCGTAGATGTCTTGTGTATTCATGTTCGTTGTACGAATCCACTGAAAAGCACAAATTTATTTCTAAAGAAAGAAATTTTGACAGTGGTAGTCACTGTTTTCTTGGATACTATCAAACATAGTTAAAAAAATCTTGTCTTCTTCAACTACTCAATCAGCAAGATTGTTTTGACAAATTCAAGACTAAAAACTGTTTATTGTCAATGTTGCTTCGGAATATAGATTTGATTTTTACATGTTTGAATTATGATCGAACTCAAATCGATAGGATCTCTATCAATTTCCAAATATTCTACGATGAATTGGAAGACCGAAGCCATTGTTCATTGATCATTTTTATCCGATGGACAAGATTCATCATGATGAATGACCATGTAACAATAGATATACTTATTCAGAAACACTTCTGAAATACTCGCTATCAATGAGTATGTCAATCGCATCCAATTTCAGCCATGAATGAATCATCTTTTATTTACACAATTTATACAGAGAAAAAAATGGATGCTTGTTGTTCGTTCCGGTTCAAAGAAAACAAACAAGACAATTTTGACCAATATGCTCTTTAAGATTCGATTTGAGAAGGTGATGAATTCTAATGTCGACGATAACGAATGATCTACTGATGCTGAGTAAGAAGTTCATGTGTGAGTCTTAATTCAGCCATCTCATATAGTACTNTTAGCTACAATATTTTCTAAAAATTCTTCATCAAATTTTGATGCTCCATGTCGAACAAAAAATGTTGCACGTGAAATTCCTCGAGTAGCTTGGTATAGAACAAATATAATTCGAATGTTAGTTGGTGGTTTTTTACCATTTTCAGCAATAAGTGTTGAACTTTATTATATATTTTCAACATTTTGGGGTCGTGAACAATATATGTTATATGGAATATTAACAATTGTATTTTTAATACTTATTTTAGTAACAGCTTCAATATCAATATCATTAACTTATTTTCAATTAACTTCTGAAGATTATCGATGGTGGTGGCAATCAATAATTAGTTCAGGGTAAAATTTAATTTAATTTAATTTAATATTATATAATATTATTTTTTTTTAAAAATAAAAATAAAAAATTTAGATCAACTGGTTTATTTGTATTTTTTTATGCGATATTTTTTTATTTACATCGATCAAAAATGAGTGGAACATTACAAACATTACAATTTTTTGGTTATACTTTAATAAGTTGTTATGTTTTCTTTTTAATGCTTGGTACTGTTGGATTTTTTTCTTCACTTAAATTTATTCGATATATTTATGTTAATATTAAAATGGATTGATTATATATCAACGGTTTTCTTTTTTTATTCATAGAAAATCACTTTCTTTTTTGTCTTTCTTTATAATGTGTTATTTAATTTCAACAAATAAATAATAAGTGATCACATTTTCAACGTTTTCTTTTTTTATTTGTACTCGGAATTTTTGGTTTTTTTTTTTCATTATTTATTATTGTTTAGTTTTTGTTTTATTGAATTATTCATTTGAAAATAAATAATATATTAAAATAAAAATAATCAATTTCAAATATTCAAAATCATTCTTCTATAGTTTTAATATAAAGAAAAAACAAAAAACAAAGATTATTTTATTTTTAAATTTCTGATTATATGAATCAAGAATAAGTTCAAATTTCGATGAGTTGACTTTCGCCGCGGTAGTATAATGGTAGTACATCCGGTTGTGGTCCGGATAACGCAGGTTCGATTCCTGCCCGTGGCATGTCGATTTTTTTTTCTTAAAATTGCACAGAATAGAAAAAATCTTTTTCCTAAACCACCATCTTTATTAATCAATGACATATCTATGCAGTCTCGTAAGATTTATTTATTTAGAATAATTTCTCTATGTTATAGTTAATGAAACTTTCATAGGTTATTTAAAATGAATACTTATATTCATTCGAATATATCATCAAAAATAATCACTTTATTTGACGTTAAAATAAGAACTTTTTTAAATAAAAAAAAATAAAGTTTGTTAATTAATATTTATTTAATTAAGATACAAGCAAAAATAATCCTTAAACGAATTTAAGTTGACAACATAAATTAGGTCGAAGTGGATCATAAAATGGATGAATTTTTATTCTACATATTAGAGCAGAATAAAGATCAATTGAACCATCACAAACAAAAGGTTTTTCTTGATTTATAACAGAACATGCAAATAAACTTCTATTACTTTGCATAAAATGGTCCCATATATTGACAACATTGACATTGACGACACATACGTGTATAGATCAACATTGATGAGGACGATATTAATAATCTCAATATCAATATTTCAACTATCATTTTTCTATAAGAACACATACATTTTTATTTCGTTTACTTTTTTAAATTCATTGTATAAAAATCAGCTATGAAAAATTTACCTGTTGATTTTAGGCAGAGACCTTCTCGAAATGGTCAACAAGACTTTTAAAAAAAAGAGAAAAAAAAACATACTAACTAGACAAATATGTCAAAATTTTCTTTGGCGAAAATGTCTTTTTTCTCTTCGAATATAGACAATATTTATATTGAAATGAGTCTATCTCTTATAGTTTTACTTTATCAATGATTTATTCTCTTAATATACAATCTCCAGCAATGTTTAAAAAGATATAAATTTAATTTAATCTATTTGAAAATGTTCAATTAAATAAGAGTTAAATATTGAAAAATGAAAAATAGAAATAATTTTCGAAGAATTGTTTTATTTCAGATGATTGATATAAATTAAAATTAAAATCTAGTATATTACTTGAATGATATATTATAATAAATAGCTAATATGAATGACCTTACAAAGAAAAGACAATTTTCATGTTCAAACAGATTATCATTATTCATTTCTTTTTCTTTTCCTTTTTCTTTTTCTTTTTCTTTTTCTTTTTGTCAATAGGTTTACAAGAAATTTGAGCTAACATCAAATATAGATTTAATAATAAATATACGTTTATAGACATTCATATCGATTTTATTCTTAACATAATTAAATCTTCTCAATCGATTCATTCAATATATTTCGCTGTTCGACTGTATACTCGAATAACATCATTTTAGTTCATAGTTTTTCTCAATTATCTCATGTCTATCGATAAAATAATATTATCATATTGAAAAAAACAGAAACAGATAATATCATAAAATAAACTATTTATTCTAAAAAATATTTCATTCAAGAGTCCATACATGTAGAAGCTGAAGAGTCAAGCGAAGAGTGCTTACGGCTATTCAACTTCTTCTTCAATTATTACACTTTCAACTATTAAACTTTGGGTGTGGATGTGGGTGAGTGTGGGTGTCTGGAAACCCAGACCCACACGAAAGTAAACACACAAGGCATCGCAACAAGTGTTGGTGCCAGTTTAGTGAGACCCGCCAGAGCAATCGTGTCAGGACCGCTCGGGTTTATGCTGCTGTAGAAACTCGAGAACCCAAATGGTTAAAAACTTGAGCATAGAATTTAGAATGTCCAATAGGATACAGTCGAATAGTTAAAAGTTCCATAGTTGATAGTTGAAAGTTGAATAGTTGAAATTTTAATAGTTGAAAGCTTAATAGTTGAATCGACTTAACGGCTTTTATACTACTGAATATTCTATGATAATTTATTCAATTTGATTTTTTTCTTTCTATATAATCTTAACTTTAGTTGAATTCTTTTACTATCATATGTAAATAAAATTATAAACATTTTCATCATTGTTTTTCAACTTAATATTTTCCTAATATATATATTACAGAGGTTTAATTGAAGACAATGTAAATAATTCTATGAGAAAAAAAACAACGAGCATGATTGATTAGAGATCTGATAGATAGATGTTATTATAAAATAATGTCATTGTCATGTTCATCATTACAATTTATGTTATACATATAGATTTATTTATTTAATAGATAAGAAGATATAAGTTATCGAAATTAATGATGAAATGATTATATCCTTACTTTTCAGTTAGAATATATTAACATTAATAGAATAATTATTGAGAAACTCCTATGAATCAATCAACAGTGAAATAACCACCTAACTTCAAGAAAACAACACCATAAAAACAATATAATATATTGGGAAACGGCACGAGAGTTCGTCATACAGAAACACAGCGGTAATAGTGGACAAATAGATAGCCGTTTTCTAGCAAAAATAAAACGGCTCCTAAAATGATATGCAGGACTACGGTGAAATGTGATGAAAATGAATTCAGTAACTCACTATTTAATAATCGTGTCAGACCATTTAAGACGGCATATTCGACAGACGTAGTGATAGTCCTGAAAAAGTTATTTTTGAATGATTTTTATTTTGATGAATTAACTTTCGCCGCGGTAGTATAATGGTAGTACATCCGGTTGTGGTCCGGATAACGCAGGTTCGATTCCTGCCCGTGGCAATGAAATTTTTTTTTCTTAAAACTATACAGAATAGCAAAAAATGTTTTGCTTCACCCAATATGATGTTGATAATAATGCAATGACATCTGTCCTATGTCATTACTTAGCGTAGCGTCATATGTTATCATAAGCGTTGAGATTTTATTTTATGACCATAACATTTTTTTAATATGTATTAAATATTTATTTATTTAAAATACGATTCATCTTTTATTGAAATATATTGAAAGAAAAAGACACTTCATTTGAGTTCAAAATGAGGATTTTTTTAAAAAGTTTCTCTGAAATAGATATCTATTTAATAGATTTTTCTAATTGGATTTTTAAATAAAAAAACGTTTTGTTTAATTTAATTGATTAGTTAAATATTGCTTCAAAGAAAAAAGACTCAATTTAATAAATAGAAACCGTCAAAATAAATAATTAATCAATATTTATTTAAATAATATGATATGTATATATATATATATATATATATATGGGGTTGTCCAGTCTAGCCGGATGCCCCATCGATATTTTTTCTATTGTATAGATATAATTCATTTTTGAGAGAAACATAATTCGAAGATTTATTTTCCAATATATAGTTTTATACAAATCAAATCTTTTTCTTTTATGACTAAAATATTAAACATGACGCCTTCTCTTTTTCTTCAACATCTTATTAAAAAGAAAATATTCTCTCTTTGCATAACAGCAACAAAATCGACTCATACAAATATAAATGCAAACTGTTTCTTTTTTATGCTTTTTTTTTAATTAGAATTTTCCAAGATATGTATATGTATTTATGTAATGATTATTAATTAATTATAAATGAATCTTTTTTTTAATATTTAACGATATTTACTTTATTTTGATGTTTTTCTCTCTGAATAATAATAATAGAAGAGAAGATATTCAACAGACAAGTTAATAAAACCTAATAAAATTTATTTTACTGACATAATTCATCTAAGATAATATTATTGAGCTATTATTATTCATCTTTTGTTTTTTTTTCTCTTTTATGAATTTTATTCTTTATACAAAATAGTTGACCGTAAATGTAACCTCATCATCAATTACTAATTTATTCTTTTTTCAGAGAAGAATAATATATATTTTCATATTTAGAATAATATTTCATTGAGCAGTACTAGACTATTACAGACAATATGAAGAATATGAATACACAAGATGCAACAATCAGGGGTTGCAGCGGTGTCATGTGAAAAATCAGGAATCAGGACAGGAATTTTCGAAGAAAAAATCAGGAAAAGAGTCTCAAAATCAGGATTGCTTAGAAACACAGGAAAAGATGTAAAGATACGCA